ATATTAGACTGAAACGACAAGAAACGGCTCGACGTTTCCGATTAGTTCAGCACTTACTAGACAAACGCTCTAAACTTCCCATTAATTACAAAAGACTCATATACTTGACTTTAATAAGACTTATTTGAACTTATGGAGTTGAGCTATGGGGCTCTACTAAACCACCGAATTCCTCCAAAATCCTTCGTAAAATCCTCAATGCTCCTTACTTTGTCACTAATAAAATTATCCATAAAGATCTTAATGTTCCTTATGTTTCAGATCTGGCCCAATCCAGATACCTATCCTTCCATAATAAACTTCAGAATCATCCCAACCCTCTCGTTTCTAACCTTGCTTCCTCTTCAATTCCTGATAACCCTCCGAGGCGTCTGAAAAGAAGATGGCCCCGTGATCTCCTAATGTAGTCATATCATTAGAGTGCTACCATTGGGTAGTTACTCAGCAAGTGTATTCATGTCATTATATCTATTATGTCCAAATTTACTAGATGTATTTATGCAATACAGTTGTAAATGTCATTAAGAAATAAAAAAATATCAACGTTGAAACACAATTTTCTCAAAAACGGCTCTAACGATTTTGATTAAACTCGGTGTATCATTGTATAATTAAGTGATCTTTAATATCAATTAGGTCTTATCACCATTGATGTCGATATTGTATATGGTTTTTAAAAGTTTATGGAATTTCCTAAAAAAAAAAAAAAAAAAAAAATCGTTAAGATCGGACAATTAGGAGGAAAGATATGGTCTCTAGTTTTTTTCCCTGAAGAGACGAAAATTTGGATAAATTTAAAATATACTTTTTTAATTGTTGAGACTAAAAAAAACCTTTTTCTATTGATATTTAATAAAGTATCTTTCCAAAGAACATTTTTCATAAGAAATAAGTACCTAAATTTATACCTTTATCCTCAGTTCTATATTTCAACAATGCAATCACCACCTCCAGAATCAACTTACTCATTGTCTGCATAGATAACTTTTTCAACTAAAAATATCACTAAAATGGCATTATTAAAAAATGTTGAAATTGGAGTTGGAGTCATTCTGTGGTTTATAAAAGCAAAGAATGTTGTATGGTTTTTAAAAGCAGATGGAATGACTAGATTTTTATTGCCTGTCGTCGATATATTATATAGACATTTTGTAATTATTATGGTCTTAATGGCCTATTATCTGTAAGCTTTAGCTCCGTTTAAAATGCACTTCAAAAAATTCTATAATAGCCCAGCATTGCCAGAAAATAATTTCAATTCATAGTAGATCGGTAAGTGAAAGTTGTGTGTTTTTCTGTAATTTAATTTAACAATTCAAATTTCATAATTTATTTTTATTTTCTTATGTTACTTTTATTTCAGAAAATGATAAAAGATCATATTTTTAATCGTTATCTTGCTGGAAAATAAAGCTTTACCCAATCAGCTGGTATAGATGATAATTCATCTATAAAAGAATGCTATGGTAAAGTTTCCCATCAAATTTTTCATCTATTCACAAGAGGTTCCAATTCAAATTCAAATTTCAGATCTAGAAACACAGCCCCAAACCACCAAGGAGCCCCCTCCTTGTTTTAATGTTGGTTGCAAACATTCATCGGAATATTCCACTCCATATCTTCCCGAACATGACTGCCTCCTTCCGAAATCAAATGCTTCAAATTTTGTCTCATTTCTTCATTAAAATTTGTTCCAATTTACGTGTTCTTTTGCAATCGTAAGTCATCCTGGATTGTTAAGAGGTGAAAGAAATTTTTATCCTCTAGCAAAACAACCTTTATGTCCTTGTAGCATCAGCTATTTCCTAAACCAATTTTGTTAGATTTTTATAGGTTGTGCAAATACAATGATTTTAAAAGTTGTTCAGCAGCAGTATTATTTTTTTTATATCTGTCTGAACATTTCAAATCTCCAGCTGTCTTGGGTTTTAAAAATTGTTTATGACAATGGATTTCAGAAATAGAACCTTTTGTTTTTAACCCATCAGTGATAACTAAACACAGTAACAGTTGCAGTATACTGTTTTTTTGTTTAATGAAATAACATACTGTAGCTTCATGCTTTACGATAATTTTATTACTTTAAAATAAATATGAGGGATACGAAGAAAATTCCCTAAAATTAGACTTAAGTGTTGGATGTCTTTTGCTGGAAATTCATCTTTAATGGCTTTCATTTCTCCTTTCCTGAATCTAACTTTCAATTCAATAAAGTATGGAACATCCACTCGTTCTGTCTAGGCCTTCTCAACCAGACTTAAAAAGTAACTATGAATAATAACAGCGGCAGGTTTGTGCGTTTTTGAGCTACCTATTCAGTCATACTTACATTTTTAAGTCTAGTTGAAGCAGACAAGTAAGTAACCACCATGCTTAATCCATGGTTTTGTTTTGTCAGTCCATATGTTTGTTGAGTGCATACTACTATAGTTCAACTTACTAACATTGCACTCAGTCTAGACTAGTCGACGATCGCCGAGGATCCCCCAAAATCATTGTTTTATATTTTTCTAAGTACACTAAAAATAATTACTAAATAAAATCAACGAGGATGAAGAATTAGTAAGTTATGACATGGAGTCTCTTTTTACTGATGCTAAAAGAAGTGTATTAAATACTACAAAAAGAATGGTCTGAAATAGAACCTCATACACCAATTAAAAATAAGGCAATATTCCTTGAAGGAATAAGATTATGTTGCGAAAATGGATATTTTGCTTATAATAATACATTTTATTTAATGAGAAACGGTCTACCGATGGGAGGTTCGCTCTCGGTCAATCTTAGCGGCATATATCTAAACTACTTAATGGACCAAGCGATAAAAAAACTTAATATAACTCCAAAACTTTGTATAAAATACATAGACGATATCCTCATGATAATGAAGAAAAATGAAACTAATAATTTGTTAAAGATATTAAATAACCTATCAGACAAACTGAAAAAACTAAAATTTACAATAGAAATAGAACAAAATAATAAAATCACATTTCTGGACATTATGACATATAGAAATGGAATAGAACTAATTATATCTTGGTGCAAAAAATCCATAACTAGCAATAGAATTTTAAATTGGCACAGTAGCCATTGTCCAAATCAAAAAATTAATTAAGCTAAAAATGTATTAGAAAAAGCTAAAATGATCTCAGATAAAATACATATCAATAAAATAAAAACTGAAATATATAATATATTACTGGATAATTGGTACCCTAAAAGAATTATAAATAAAATATGGTACAAAAACCATAAAATGAAAAGGAATGATAATAAAAAGGATAGATAACAAACAGCAGAAAACAAACCATAACTACCGAAGTAAAATTTTAAACAAAAAACCCGAATTTAATCACAAATTACTTCAAAAATAATAATTCTGAAATAATAAGTGCCATACAATTTGAACATAAAATTGAACAATGTAATAATTCTGAACCTAATAACCTTGAAAAACAATCTCAAAAGTTACTTAGTGCCATACAATTTGAAAATAAAATTGAACAATGTAACATTAAATAACTTATATTAAAGATCCAACTAGTAAAATTCAAAGGACGTTCAGGGAATATGATCTATCGGAAATTAAATTAGGTAAAAAGGCAGTAAATAAAATTGAAAAATTGTATACCAATACCAAAGATAATATACCACATGATATGAAAAGTAACGTTATTTATAAAATAAATTGTAAAAATTGAACTAATAAATCATACAAAGAACAAACGGGACAATGGTTCCAAAAAAGAATAAAACAACATGAACAAAATTGTAAGTCCAAATCAAACACATCAACCGGCCTTTCACAACATACAACAAACACCAATTTGATTTTAAAAATGATAAAATAATATATAAGGAAAATAGTAACAATAAAAGAAAAATTATAGTCAATATATATTACTAAAAATTTAAAGAATTCCATCGACAACCATACAGATGTGGACAATATAAATACTTTTTATGCAAATGTAATTAACAATCGCATATAATACAATAATTAATTTAAAAGCAATATAAAAATCATAAATTAGATAAAATAATCCACTAATGCAAAACAATAGAAGGAAAACCCCTCTCCCTTTGACTATCCCTACCAGGGCGACATAAGTCAGTCCCTTCAGAAATGACGTAGGCGAAACCCCTAAATAGCAGGACAATTTAATGTTCACTGAACAAACAAATGCGACATTAATAATGAATATATAACAGAGGACTCAAGGTAATTTAAATTGTTTTTAATGTAAGGTTTAAAGTTACGTACATGTAAGGTTTTTTATAAGAAAAAGTGTATACTTTTATTGTATAGATCTGGATAAATTAATGTGTATTGAAAATAATACGACATAGATCGTTAGACAAGTTAATTATGTGTAATAAGAAATTCTTTTTTTAATTGTTAAATGTTAACTAATATTACAATTTTCCAGACTTGAAAATGACCCTTAGTATGGTCGAAACGTCGTAATTAATAGCTTATCAATAAAATGTTGGTGATAATTGGCCTAATTTATATAAAAAATAAAACCTCGAGACACCAATTTTAGGAAAAATGAACAGAAGAAAAATAAAAATAATTGTTTTGTATTTTTTATTTATACAAAATTTTGGATCCCTAACATAAATGTTTTATAGTTCTTTATAGGCATAGAATGATTGGGGAACCCCCTCTGAAGGCACAAAATCATTTTTCCAGTACCCCAAAAATAATTGTTTTGCATTTGTTTATTTCCTCAAATTTTTGGGGTCCCTGACATAAAGTGATGGTGAGGGCCTCCTCTCAGGACCCCAAACATTGTTATTTTGTATTTATCTAGTACCGTGGTATGCTTGACCCCAAAAATAATTGTTATCTATTGGTTGATTTCCGCCAAGTTTTGAGACTCCTCAATATGAATTTTTGTATTTTTTTTTTCCTCGCCACAAATTGGAATCCATGATGACAATACTTTTCCTTAATATATAATACATTTATGGAAAAGGAGAAAAAAAAAATAGTTGATTCATTTTATCCTTTATTTTCGTCTGGGTCAACACAAAATGCTTTGTATTAAATTTTAGTCAAGAGACTGAATTTAATCAAAAAGACCAAATCCCATGTCATCATCGGATTCTTCAGCTTCTTCCTTGACTTCTTCCTTCTTGGCAGCAGCTGGAGCAGCAGCAGCCTCGGCCGCTACGGGAGCAGCAGCAGTGACGAACTTCGATGGGTCCTAAAAATTTAATCAGGATAAGTTTGAATTCATACATGAAGAGTTAATGTAACACCAACAAGAAAACATTAACTGACCTTCAGATATTCTTTGATCTTCTCGGCTTCTTTGAACTCAACATCAGTAACTGCAGCAACAGCAAAAAGATTTTTCAAACCATTGGCAATGCTGTGAGGAGCAGAAGCTATTGTTGGGTAACTGATTTCAAGACAGACGGAAGCTAATCTAGCGACACCCTGGAATCAAATTTAACAAAAGATAAAATCAACATATTTTAAAAAGATATTAAATACATCAATTAATGTATCCAAAAGAGAAAAAAATATAACAAAAATTATTCTAAAATAAAGGTGACAAGAATTATTTAAAAATATAAACCAAAAATGATTTATATATATATATATTTTTTTTTTTTAAGAACATAAACAAGATCTTTCAATTCAACTATGTGTTTATTGTTTATATTTCAGAGTTTTATCTCCATTATGAGGACTTGCTGAATTCACAGTTTGATAACATCACAAAAATATATATAACATGCACATTTTTCTGCTGATGGCGAAATACTAAAATTAGATCCGTTGACATTTATTTATCCTAAGCTCAAAACTAGTAATACAAACTTTGATCAAGTTTTGAGCTATGGACAAACAGATGTCTGCAAATGTAATAATGATATTAATTCTATTATTTAGAAATTAACAGAAAGACTTTGTTCTATATATTATTACTAAACCATCAAAACAATAAAATAAAATTGAAAGTAAGCAACTAATTTGAATTTTGGAAAAGGTTAATTTTTTAATTATCAGGATAATTAATTTTAAAAAACAAAGTCAACAAAAATATTCATCAATAAATTACTTTTTTAAATACAAAATTAATATTAAGGATGAAAAATTGTCAGGATGTGCAGACAAAAATTTCTTCATTCAGTTTGCCGATGTTTCAACCCAAACATATGAGTCATCATCAAGGCAATGGTTTGAAAGCTGGACAAGAACGAGAAAGAAGTTTTTGTCATGGCTTTCAAACCATTGCCCTAATGGTCGAAACGTCGGCAAACTCAATAAAAAATATTTGCATGTTTATAAAATGCACATCCTGACAATTTTTTAAGTTGCTGTTTAGTTATCCCAATTATAACGTAACATCTATTTTTTATCTTTTATTGGGTGTTGACTAGCTTATAATTAATTAAAATTCATATGCATGTAAAATTTTAATATATATATATATATATATATATATATATATATATATTAATAAGGTATTATTATTTAAATACAACTTGAATAAAGTATTATCAGCATCAATAACATCTACTCATACATACTAATGTAATTAGAATTTGATTTTACCTCGAGGAACTTGACTCTCAAATCTTCAGGTTTGATATCCAAGATCTTGGGCTCGAATATCGTACCCGAGTCATAAACCATTTCCACGACTAAACCATAAGAAAATGGAGAAATGTTCAACATGTTCAAAAGAGTAGCTTCTGAAGCACCAACTTTGTCGCCTTCTTTCAAGATGTGGACATCGTTCTAAAAATAAAATAAAATTTAAATGTCCATAAGATCTGAAGATACTGACTTTTAAATATAATTAACTTCTATTAAATTAATATATTTTTTAAATTATGACGTTAGTTGATTTAATATTCAGTTAAATTTAACCATGATCAACAATAGCAAAAAAATTATTTCATACTGTAATACAAACAAATAAATTAAGGAGTAAATGGGTAGAATGATTTTAGTCTATTTTTTATGAAAATTAATATGGCATTGCCATCTAATGGTGAATGAGAAGTACTATTAATGGATTTAATGAAATCTCATTAAGTTTTTTTTTCCTCAAGAAAGCTTGAAAACGGACACTCACATGGAAAAGAAGAAGTAAGATTAAAAACAATTTGTGTTAAACTTTTTATTTATTTATTTATAATTATCAATAAAATTACTTTTAAGTAATATTCTTTTTACCAAAAGTTAATTACAGCGGGAAAGAACACTTGATCACAACAATTTTATATGATCATATCGATAGTCAAATTTTAAAGGGTTAATGAAATTTAAAATTGTTAGAATGTAACATTTAAATAAAATAGTGAAACAAATAATTTCAACTTTTAATTTCAATATTAAAAATTTTGTGACTAAAATCATTCTTTTCGTATACTCTTCATACCAATATTAAATAACATAATCCATATAATAGTGGATAATTATCTACTGTAGAAGACATATTAAGGAAAAGTTGGTTGTGGTTTTCAGTCAATGAAAGTATATAATAAAAATAAATAAATTATATTTATTTTTGCCAAAGTTTCAGACCTTTATCAGGGCTGCCCACTAAAGAGTATCGGAGGAGTAGCACAATGAATTGTTGAATAAAAATAAATATAAATCATTAACCAAAGATCGCAACCAATTTCTCTTCAGATTACTTAAAAGTTTTTGTTGAAACATTAATAATTGAACTCACGATAATTTCAATTGTTCCTTTGGAGATCTTGGTTGGGATGGAGAGAGCCTGAAAGAACGAAGTTTTTTCAGGACCGAGACCTGTGTTCTGAGCTGGGATGACTACGGGGCAAGGGGCAATAGCTCCGGCCCTGGCGGGAGCTCTGACTTTATTCTGCAATAACTTTTCCCGGATTTCAGGGAGCTCTCCTCTGGTGAACACGAATCCTACATTTCCTTTGATGTGAGGCAGAAGTCTAAATAAAATAAAAAATAAATAACACATTGAGATTAGAACTTTCAAATAATAAAAAAAAGTTCATATTTAGCACAAAAAAAAAAACTTGAAATAACAATGCTTTAGGAAACTATGGTGGAAAGGGAGAGATAGCCTAAATTCACTACATGGTGACATCAAACCAGTGTTGGGTAAAATTTATCTTAAATAAAAGATAATAGACAACAAATAATTTATTCGAACTTTTTAACTACAAATAACGAATGATTCTGTTTATCTTTTATCTAGATAATAAATAAATTAAAGTTATCTATTATCTTTTTATTTGTTATTCGATTTTTTTCAAATAAATTTCGAATAATTTGAAGCTAATTTTATGTTTCTTCTATATACGGGCCAATGTATATATTTTCAGATCCATAGTTTTGGAAAATGATCTCCATTTTAAGATTACGCCACTGCATTGCGACTTCTTTTGAGTTTTTAGGGTTTCTTACTTATCAGGATTTTGGGGACGCTTTTTATGAAAATACTGTTTGATTTTCAATAGCGCCTACGGGCACCGACTTTTTGTAACTTTTCGGATTTAATTGATATGAGGTTCGACTATTAAGTTTTGGGGAGCCCTTTTCATGAAAATAATGTCGGAATTGAGATAGCGCCCTCAGACACCGACTTTTTGTAATTTTTTTGGTTAAATCGATACAAGGGTTGATATGTTTTGGGGGTGTGCTATCTCAAATCTGACAGCATTTTCATAAAAAGGGCTCCCCAAAACTTAATAGTCAACCCTCATATCAATTAAATAAGAAAATTTACAAAAAGTCGGTGCCCGGGGAAGCTAACTCAAATCCGACACTATTTTCATAAAAAAAAAAACATATAAACAGACCTAAATATACAACAAATTTTAAAATTGCAAAAAAGATTATTCGAATCGTATTTTCATCTTAAATAACGAATAATGGATAACAGATAATGCATATTATTTGTAAATAACAAATAACAAATAATTATCTGTCCAAATGTCGTAGAATAAGAAATAAGGAATAAAAATTTATCTATTATTCGTTATCTAGATAAAATTTCAAATAATTTATTTAAATAACGCCCAACACTGCATCAAACACGGTGCTGTTAAAGTGTCTCTAACTCAACTTTACAAACAAGCATTTGTAAAAGCTAATAAAACAAATTTCAAACTAAATATTTCTGAGTTCAGAAATGACAAGGTGAGAGAAAAAATACTAAGATATTTCTTGGATAGAAGTTTAAAAAGCTGGATACACTAGCATAAGTTGAAAGGTATGAGAGTACAATCCAATACTAGTTTTTGCCAACCATTGAACTTGAGGACTTACAGCTAATAACCATTTTCAATTCTAGATAAACCTCATCTTAACACAAATTCGGTCAGTCAGTAGAAAATTGCTGTCTATAGGAAAATTTAAATTAAAGTGGTAAAACTTAATCTTTCATTTAGTGGAAGAACTGACAGCTAAAAATTTTATACGGTGTAAAGAATATGTCCTTAAAAAGAACTCACTTTGACTGACGATGTATTTGATCACATTTTGAAAACTGACAGCATCTAAGCCATAAAATTAGTCCAATCGAATGGTAGTTGGATGAGGAAAAAATTGAAAAGGTCAGTCTCTATGTTTTTTTGGGATGCTGAATCTGAATTTGAAGTTCCCAGACAAACTTTTCCAGATATATGAAAAAAAAAAAACTTATTTCAAATTCAGATTCCCAAAAAATATTTTTAAAACACAGAGAAATTTGAATTTAAACTTTTTCCACATCCAACTACCATTTGAATGGACTAATTAGATGACTTTGATTCGGTCAGTTTTCAAAATGTAACAAATCACATCATCAGTAAAGGTGAACTTTCTTTCAGGAACGAACATATTCTTTACATCTTATCACAATTTCTGCTGTCAGTTTTCTGTAAAATGAAACACAAAATTTCGCTACTTTAATTTGAATTTTTGTAAAGAAAGAAACAACTTTAAACCAACTAACCGAAGTTGTATGTTCAGATTAGATTTATCTAGAATTTAAAATGATTATTAGCTGTAAGTCCATCAATAAAATGAAATAGTTGATCGCTCATAGTCTTTAGTCCTGTCTCTTGTGATGTAGTTCTTTACCCACCACTTTTCTTCAACGCTAATTATCTCAGCAAATATACATTAAAAAAATGTGGATTTTTATCATATTAATTATTATAAACTAACCTTCAACAAATAATTAAAATTGAAGATCCTAATAAGTATCCAATAATAGATAACAGCAATATGAAGTATATTACTATATCAGTAAATATAAGATATCCATAAATAAATAAATTTTAAAAAATTGTGTAAAACTTACTTGTCTAATGCTTGGTTTCTTTCAACATGGCCTCTAATAGCCTTTCTCATCATGGTGTTCTTTCCCATCAGTACTACTGCAGCACCTCTCAACGACATACGGATTTGTTGCATTTGTTTTGACCCGACATTGTCAGCGCCAACAATGAAGCACTTAGGATATTCTTCAAGTAATTGCTATACAACAAACAAAATAAGTGATAGAAGCTCTTTTAAGATTCTCTTGCCTTAAAATAATAAATTAATTATGTTATTTTTGTATCTTAAAAAACAAAACAATTTTTAAAGCTCATAGCAAAAAAGTAAAAATATAGTACAGAAATAATTTGTAATGTGTATTTATGTGTATAAAATTTAATGTAATGTAAAAGTACAAGTTCCGAAGTGCTATTCCAATATGATACAAAATCACAATTATCATACAGTAGATAGAATCCCAAAAATATCCGATAATTAACAATAAAGTATAGATGCAATGAGAGGCATGTCCTCATATATATATATGTTTAAATTAGGTAATGATTCTTGCCTTAAAATTAGGCTTTATAAAAATATTAATATTTTTATTAGAATCCAAAAAAGAAAAACAATGAGGACCTATTGATTGACAAGTATCAAGGTAAAGCGTCAACTTCAAGCGAAAAGGATAATTCGAGTGCTTGTTTTATACCATTATAAGAAACAAATAATTTTGGATAACTAATAATAATGCTAATAAATAATAGGCTTATCTTATAGTGGTATTTTTATTGCTCGAATATGAAAAATGTCAGATCATTCATCACTATTTTCTTCCAGACAGATTCAGGCTCTTCAGTGTAATCAATGTGATCATGTTACAATATTGTAATGGCATCTTGGAACAAGTCATAAGGCAAAAAATTAATAGATTTTTTTTTTACCTATAAACCATAAAATAAAAACAAATTAAAGTACTAGAACTGAATCACTACTCCAAGATAGCTGATAGTTTCAAGATCACTTAGAGCATACCTTTGGTCAAAGACATACAACAACTGATATACAGCCCACTCACACTGGGTCAGTCAGGCAAAACTCGTGATTGACCAAAATTTCTCCCATGACTTTAAAATGCGTACATTAATGTTGTTTTGGCTTTGAAGTATATAACAGTTAGTTTCAAGTAATTTCAAAGGATTTTCATAAATATGTTCAAAAGTTGAGCATTTAAATTTAGGTAGTGCAAAATTAGATGTTATGTAGCACAAAATCTTTTAATTATTATACAATAAATATGAGTATGTATATATGTCCATATGAGTGTGTATGTGTAATTTCAATTATTCTCCATTATTACTCAACAGTTATTATCTTTGTTTTATTGCCTCAACAGAATTTTCCATCCTCTTTCTGTTAAACTTTCGTTATCCATAATATTCATGAGTAATATATCTCTTGTCCTTATTTACGCTTCCAGTACTTTAGTTCAAACTTTGTCAGAGATGACGCCACAATACATCTCTTCTCTCCCCCTCCCTCGCTACCATATTCATTTCTCTGTTAACACTTGTGGAGACAGGTGTGTTTTCTTTTTTCTCTTTCTTATTTAAGCCTTCTCAGTTTCTTTCTTCCTTCCTTTCATTCATTTTCTCTGTTTTTAACTCTTTATTATATTATATGTTGTCTGTACATCTTGATAGACTTTACATTATCTCAATTTTCTATCTAACTATTCTATTCGCAATATCTCAATTTTACTATTTATTTTTATTTCTTATATAACTTCATATTCCTTTTTTCTGTTTTACATTTTTTTCTAAGATTCCCATTTTAATACTTATTTCACCTTTTTTGTATTATGTTTACATCATCATTCCACACTTTGTAACGGTTATTATTTACCTCTTATTTCTTACTATTGTCATTGTTCTAACAACTTCATTTTACTTTAATTTTTTTACCTACACTACTTATGTTTCTCATACTTTGTTATCTGGTTCTTTTCTTAGCCCTGAACTTCAGGTCGAAACGTCGGCGAATGTCAAAATAAATAGTATCATTTATTTTTGCCTTCTTATTTGACTGATCACCACAACTATTCTTCTCTTCATTATTCACGACGGTCATCATTTACTCATAATTATACAATAAGTAAATTGTATTCAGAAAGTTATAGAGCAAAACCAAATGAAATCCAGATAAGCAGTGTTATAAGTAATTTATTTTTTAATTTTAATTTTTTACATTTTCTTAAATTCAACAATTAATTAAATTTAAAAAATACATATTATTTCCATTTTTGCATCTCCTACTTTTTACTTTCCTTGAGATTTTATTTAAACTATACTCAAGTGACCTTGATACCAGCCGCCATCTTGGAGTAGTAAATTCAGAACAGGTACCCAAAATAATATGTTTCTAAAGAATATAGTTAAAAATTTTAACTTCAAGTTTGTTATTTTATTTTAACATTGTCTCAGAGACTCCTTTAATATTATATTAATAGAAATAAAGTCATACAAAGAGTCATATAAATATAGAGGACGAAAATACATATATAAACAAAGCTCATTTTCCAGATATTTACAAAAATAAAAATTATTACATTTTTTACTTACAATCAATTTACTGAAGTAGTTGCTCTTCCAAGTTGCCTTATCTTCCTTACCCATCGTGGTGTGGTAGGGATGTGACTTTTAAAGACTAAAATAGAAAAATTAATATATTAAAAAAAAAAAAAAGAATGGACATGAATCATATTCAAAAAAACATACATTCAATGCCCCAATGTTTCAAACAGCTCTCAACTGGACAAACAATAAAACCTTGAAAAATCTCTTTGGTTTGTCTTTGTTGATAGTTTAGAATGACTAAAAACATTATGCGAAGTAATTACAGAGAAAATATAATCCCATGAACGCCACAGTCTATTACTGAATATAGCATAGGTAGAGAACCTACTGCCTTCAAACATTTTTGCATATTTATTAATCAAGCACTAGAATTAATTAGTATTTAATTATTTAAGTTACTAAAATTAATATAATTAAATTGAATATATGTTTATTTCATGATAAATAAAAATAGAAATAGTAAAATATGAAAAAATTGTGCGGCCTCTGATGATAAAGAAGTTCCACACCTATAAAATGTAGGTTTTACTGATATTTTTCAATGAAAAAGTGTGTTAGACATTTAATCTCTTATTCTGGAAGACTGTATATACAGTAAACGAACGGGTTTTGCTCACTAGATTTTTCTTTAAGTAAATAGGAAGAAGATGTGTTCACCAGAAGATGTATAGAAAAAAAAACCCTTTATTCTGGGACTAAGTCCCTTTAGAATAACAAATTCGTAGAAAAAGAAAAGAATGCTACTGGCCTAAAAGTTTAAAACAATTAATAAAATAAAATAAAAAGTAAAGAAAAATCACTTTAAAATGTGAACAAAACTATATATAATGGTTGAACAGCATTAGCATACACTTTGAGATACGAAGAACAAAAAAAGAGACAAAATAGAATTAAGGTTATTTCATAAATTAATTTTACTGATGTATATGTATATATATATAAAAGTTAGTTATAATTGAATAAAAAAAAAATGTATTGAGTAATGACGAAAATAGTAAATACATGTACTATACCTTACAAAGTATTATCGTATGATTATATGATTGCTACGCAATACATATATAGTTAGCTGGTATCTGACTTGATATTGAAGATAAATATTGATAACCTCATGAACACAATATTCCTTTAATTTGAAAAGGGAGAAAGAATTTTGATTATAATACAAAGAGTCAAATGTTAATCTCAAGTTGGTGCTGGACTTCTAACGTGAATGGTAGTGACTTTATTTGTAAAATATCAATACATAATAAGCATGTATAATTGGTAAACTGAATATGTTATTCTACAATATACACCATTTCAAGAAAAGCTTTCAGCAATTAACACCATATTCATCCATTCTAATATAAAATCATCCACATGGATTTAATTGTTCTTACAGAATTTTTCTCTATAGACATTCATAGACTACCGTATTGTTATTTAAATCTATGGTTAAGTGGACCTATTTCATCCCTACCAGGTCATACTCAGGCTTCTAAAGAGCTGAGAGGTCCTTGAAAATATATAATAAACATAATAAACTTGAGATTGATTTGAAGGAAAATTTTTATCAATAAAACATAATTAGTATTTTATGTCTATCAAATATTATTCTCTGATTTCTTATCTAGTTTTCATACTAAGGGTTAGTTACAGCAGTTTCGATTTAAAAAAAAATATAAATATATCATAAAACTATCTATGAGAGAATTGTATATTAATTGAAAAATTTCATAATTCAGTTCATGAAAAATTTACAACTCATGAAAGCCACATAGTAAATAAAATGTATCATAAATATGATTTTGCTTCCTCACTAACCCATAATAGAGCTTTGTATTTTCATAAGAATTGAAAAATAAAATTATTCACTAGTCTGTGATGTTTGAGACAAGTAGCATTATTATTTTTATGTTGATATGCCTTTAGGCATAACCATGTGATGCTTTTAACACCTACTACTGTTGATTCAGTTTTATTTAAAATTTAGTTTATTTATAATTTTATAATTAGTTTTATTTAAAACTTTCAAGGATTCAACTAAAGGAAATTTAGACTTAAAAATAAAGGTTGTGATAGTAATATCTGTTACAGTTTCTTATGCATGCAATATGTACTTTCTTTGAAAGCGTATATTTATATCACAGATTGAAAATTCGTTTATATCTCTTATAAACAATGTTTAGGATGGTGCTAGAGGTTTAATTTTTCAATTTTAAGTTTAGTGCGACTAACTCTATTGAATACCACGTTGGTATGTTTATTTATATTTATAATTTCTACTATTCCATAATCCTGACTAGGGATTATCAATTAAAAACTCATATAGATTTATTAACATATTTATTTCAAAAGCAAAAGAAACAATAAAAATATGATTGAAGATATAAAACAAATTTAAAGAAAACCCAACTCACCAAGACAATGTGCTTCGAAAACTGGGAGGGCTACTATGAGGTCACGTGCGTCAGCTCCTCGATTATTGGGATCGATATTATTTTTCCCAAAGAGGTAGTTAAAGATGAGTTTTTAAAACATGTTAACAGAAAATAATAAAATAAATTGACGTAATTGTGTACTTAAAACAGCGTTCATTGTCGGTTTTTCACAGATAAACCGGTATGTATGTTAAGGGCCCCTTACACGGTCAATATCGAGTTTTGTCAATATATTGACAGTGTAAGGGCTAAATTGGCATCAATTATATTGAAGTCAATTAAACAGGTTGATATCAATTTTTTTAAATTTTTATTTAAGCTCCTTCAATATTATTGAAACAGAGTCAATATAATTGTACGTGTAAGGGTTATATTAAGTAATACTAACCACATGTATGGATCTTGAGAAGCTCTGGGTGATACCAAATTTATGGTGACCCTCCTGGCAATATGTTTGAGTAGGGGGGGGGGGGCGAGGGTGATACATTTTTTGGAGGGAAGGGAAGTAGCAAAGATTTTTTTTTTTTAAAGATAAAATGGCAATATGGTTAGGTAAGTGGGTGATACTTTTTATACAAAATTTAATAGCAATTTTTTTTTTATTACTCAACTTTCTTTTAAATATTAAATAATTAGAAAACAAGAACAGAGCCAATTTGAAACAAGAAAGTTTAATTTCTAGAAACAAAATAAACATTACAAAGAACAATTTTTTTTTTATTGCTAACGCCAAGGAAATTACAGTTATAGGAAATTTATTTCCACAAAAAAGATTACCTTCTTCAGTGGAAGTAAGATTCTAACTGATTTTAATATTTAATAACTGATATAATATTGACTCAATATAATTGACCCCTATGAGATACCCTTCCAGTATATTGCCTTCAATTATATTACTTCAATAATATTGACTCTACAAGGGGCCCTTAAGACTCAATAAAAAAACCTGAAGGGACCATTAGACATTTCAAAAACTATGGGAAACACAATAATCTAACTTAACTAACAGTTACATTATTGCTAAACCAAACTATTTATTTTATTTCACTTGATACTGACAGCAGAAGGAAAATATCAAAAATATTAGCATAGTGGAATAACCATTTATATATTTGTTTGTCCCATAGACATTTGTAAAATGTCTAAACGCACCTAGAAATAGGACATTAAAAAATATTTTTAAAATGCAGTAAAATATGCAATAAAGCAGTTCAAATATTCAAATAACGAATGTACCAATACAAAATTCTGTATGAAAAAAATTGAGAAAGGATTAAAAATTAACTGAAAACTATCAACATTTTTTTTGGATGAGGTTTCTTTTTTCATAGATCAAATAATTAAATCTGTCAAACAGAAAACAGGAAGCATATATCTATTAATAGTTAAAAATGTATGAAGCACTTTGAGGAGGTTGGGGTGATCAAGAGAGCTAACTTGTTTGGAATACACTCTGTGCTGTGGGCATTTAATTTTGGCATGGATCCCTGCCTCCCACGCTGGCCCAAAACTGTATAGTTAAAAAGACTAAAGACTAATATATGTGAACATTGAAAAATAAAATGTGAGATACATTTTACAAGCTAAAATATGAAAGTGAAAGAAACTTACAGTTAGTAATAACAGAAAGTTATAAGTTATTTTACCAATCATCAGGAGTGTCCCTCTCTCCAGGTTGATGGCGCAAAAGCCTTCCCACTCAATAAATATCTTCTTAAAAATTGTCCAAGTGAAAAAGTAATTTTTTATTTTTGTTCTCCAGGGCCAGAGGAGAGAATGAGAGATTAATGTCAGAGTTAAAAGCTCCTCCAGCAGCGAAACGCAAACTCATAATTATTTTACCATCATATATCTCCAGTTTACCAGTCTGAAAGATGACTCATGTTTTGCACACCTATTAGTCCACTCGGTCAGTCCTCTGAAAAAAGAATAATAATAATTGTAGTGCATATAAAATTATGCTTGCTGTGGTCTGTTCCATGTCTCTCCTCCCCTCTCCCCCTGATGTATCTTGGATTGAAAATTCTTGCTGATTAAAAATTTACAAAAATATGGTTCACTCCAAAATTCACACCCCACTTAAAATGTGCCTCCAGATAAAATTCAAAATTCCATTAAAATTTTGATGGCCCAACTTAAAAACCAATTGCAATAAGGAACAAGATAAATGAAATACAAATGGGTTAGTAATTGCATTAAAATTAATTAATAAATTTCTAAATTTGTTTCAGAAAAACCTAATTTCCAAATATTTTGATATAATTTTGTAAAAAAGAAAACGATTTTCCTATAGGACATTCAGAGCTAACAGGAGCAAATTTATATGGACTTAAAATTATAGGCTAGAGGTTTTTATCAGAAACTTGTTTAAATAAAAGTATATATAAAAAAAAAGTTTTCTATGATTTTAAGAACTGTTTCATCTTTGATACTGTAACAGACAACTCAGTATTTCAATTTTCAAGTAAATTATTAACTTCTTCTTCTTCTGCGTTATTCCTTATATGACTAGGTCAGGAACTAAAATGAAGAATTCGGTAGTCCTCAGGTCTTTTACAAGTTATGTAAAATAATTTATTGTGCTACAATGACAACATCCTTTCCTGCCTGAATTTCTAAGTATAAACAATGAGCTATAATACAATACCCCATATAATGCAATATACACTACAATAGTAATATAACATAGTAAGTAATAAAATAACGAGTACATATAAATATAAGTTTATTATATAAATTATGATAATAAACATTAGATAATACAATAAATTATAATATGAATTCCATTCAAATATGTGTCATGCAGAGGTAATAAATATGAAATACAGCACAAAACATTTAATATAATAGTTTTGGAGACAACTTTTTATACACAGATCGGTAATATTATCATTCACTAACAATAAAGGACCTCAATTTACAACATTGCCTGGTTGTCAGTTTTGAATAATTCCATATAAATTGACCTGGTCATGATAACAGAATG